GGGGCCGTGCGTTGTTTGTTTTTTTTTTTTATTGTTTAGTTATTCCGCCCCGCGGGGGGGCGGCCGCCCCCCGGGGCCGGGGGGCCCCCCCCCCCCCCCCCCCCCCCCCCCCCCCCCACCCCAAAACCCCCCCCCCCCGCCGCAACCTAGCTATTATTACCTTAGACTGAGAAGTAGATGGAGACTAATAACTCGTCGGTTCCCCAAAGACTCTGTAACTTTGGCTAATTACCTGTCGGACTGTCAGCAAGGGGAAGGAGGCGGAGTTGAAGCTTGTACTGTGTGCACTGTGTGCTAATCAAGGTGAGGAGGATGTGTCGACATCGGCGTCGCCTCCGTACCACTAACCAACAACCAAAACTCTAATTCTATATTACCCGGGTCATCCCTTCGGGCGGACGGAGGACTTAGTGAATACTGTGTAGGTAGGGAGACGAAGGATCGGCTTTGCAGGTCTAGCAGGGGTTAAGCTTTTCCTTCACACCTGCCTCGCTTATCTCTACTAATAATTACTGGCCGTTTTGCCGACTCTCTCTAGCTTGCAGTCCGTGACCTCTTATCGTTGCACTTACCCCTGGATCAGGGTTCCCTGGCATGATGATGGTTTGGTGGCTTCCCATCGAAGGAATTATTATTCAGGGTTCCGGTAGTCTGGTACGCCTGTGCCATCAAAACGCCACTATCTGACCGTTCATGGGGTCAGGGGCCAGATGGTTCTCGCGGACTTTACCTCCCCAGATCGAGGCAGTATCAGCTCACAACTCGGCCGAAGGAGCTAGTCCGCTCATAGTGGGCAGATGGTTAGAGTAAGCGTGGCGCAGTATTATCGAACGGTGTGGCGATCGCACCAAAACGCTCATTACCAGAGCTGCCTAGAGCTTCGACGGTGCAGGCTTCACCCTTCCAGCTGGGTCGTCCCAGGAGAATGTCGGAGCTTCTCCTCTTATTACAAGTCAGTATGACGAACTACGGGCAATTTAACTACTAGCGCAAGGCGGAGTCAATTGGGGATTGATCATCGTCTGAAAGCAACACCGAGACAAGACTAACATAGACAGAAACTCTGTTCTATTCCTGCTTGCTGTCTATCATTCCGACTTTTCCCATTCATCAAAGTATCGAGTCTGTCAAGGGAAGGTTTGACATGTGTGAATGGTGTCATGTGTTGTTCATTCTGTCCGTACCTGCCTCCTGACTGCTGCCTGTCTCATATCTGTCTGTTTGTCACTTTATCAGCTGTCTATTAATTAGCAGGTTACGTACAGCAAACACAGGCAAACACCCTATACCATGAATACCTAGTATCTATGCCCTGCTCTATCGCCACAGCTCTGTCTATACTAACCGGCCTCTCTACATAATTACCTAGGTCATCTCTCTAAACCCACCCCCCTGCTCAGAGTGCCAAGTAAGCATCGTTTGTAAAGCGTCCGTGGCGTCTGATGATCTGCACATGCCAACACGGACTCGCAAACTCTCAAGCCTCAGCCCGTGCCGTTGTCCGTTGTGTCGGTATGCCAAGAAACCGGAAGCCATGCCAGGGGCACACGTCACGGCGTGAACTCCGAACGTCAAAGATCCGGATACGGCATGGCAGGAATACATGAAACAGAGGCGACGCAAGTCCACGCCAGTGCGAAGCTAAAGTTAAGGCTCTCGGCTCTCTTTAGACGAGGTTCGAAGTACCGTGCTTGCCGCAACTAATTAGCTTCCATACCCACTACCGCATGTATGCACACTACGTAGGCCCATGACCACAGCAGAACACATTACTTACCGGGAACCGATAGTTATTAGTTATGCTCACATGCCAGACCGGCCAACGCGTTAACGGTCAGCCCATAACCCACATAATTACATTACCGGCCCTATCTCTAGCTTTGCCAAGTTTGTTGTTGCGTGTTGATGCGTCAGCTCAGTTGTCACCAGATCATGAGAGGTCCGAGTGAGTGAGTTCGGCCGTAAACATATGAACGTCTCCAGCCCCTTGGAGCAGCAGCTAACTCCATGGTGCTACGCACGTATGCATTTAGTGACGGGTCCAGGGATAGGGACGTGCCCATGATATGTAAGTAAGTATTACCCAATCTGGTAATTTATCTCCTCCATGTCGGAGCCGAACCAGAGGGAACCGGGACCGGAATATAATAATAACAAACATGAAGAACATATGCATATGGACGGCTGGAATCTAGCAGGGGACCTTGTTGTTGTTTGCAGCTATGTCTGCTCACGCCGGTGAATGAGTAGATTGTATTGACTCGATTTGCATGTGATAATTAGTCTAGATAATTATTACCTCTAAGCGAACTCCGCCGTGCATGAGACCCCAGAAACCCTGTAATCGTGTTGCATTCGGACAACGCCAGGCTAAGCATATAGTCCCTTGCTCGTTTTTAGATGGTCGCGTGAGGAAGAGGACACTCCCTTTATTAGCAGAGGGCCCGAGGGGAGAGCATCGAGATCGACCCGGAGCCGGGCCGGAGAGACTAGACGCTCAGGGCTCCATCACCGATTCCGCTTAGCACAACTGGGTTAGCCATCATTCCCCACCTGCCTTACCCACACCCATTGTCAGATCCTTCTAAAATTCCTGAAGTCAACGACAGTCGGGTATGGTGTAGCGGTAACATCGTTGACTCTCAATTCCCCTTTGGGGTAGAGGTGTCACTCAACAGCCCCGGGTTCGACTCCCGGTATCCGAGATTCTCTCAAAACATCTTCCGTGGGTGCCAACACTCATGAACCAAAGATTTAATATCCTTCAAATCTTCCGTAGTATAGTGGTTAGTATATGAGCTTGTCATCATCCCTCACACAAGGGAATATAGACCCGCTCGGGACCCGGGTTCAATTCCCGGCGGGAGAGAGAATAACGCAACACCTGGCCGATTACATTTTTGCCCGTTCCGGGTTGTTCTTTTGGTCCATTGGTCCATTGAGGTTTGCGAGAGTTGGCCTTAGCATGCTGCCGGGTCTTCGAAGTGCTTAAATTTACTGCTATTAACACGGATGACGATTCAACAGTACCTACCGTTCATTTCAGATGTGTAAACTTCTTGTGTGTTTAAGTGCTTAGGCAAAATCAGTAGAACACCTCCCCCTTCATCAACACCCTCGCCGTCCGATGTAGTTCCGCTGACAAAATCTCTCCATCCTCACTGATGACCGTGCCAACTTCCACTCTGCCACTGGGAATGTCCTATCGTAACCACCTCCCGTACTTCACCCGTTTCCCCCGTTTCCCCCTTTCCGCCCTCTGATACCTGTCTTCTGAGCTGGTGTGGTATAGTACCCGGCATGGAGCTAGCAGCCCCCAGACATAACGCCAGCGTCAACGGTACAGCCTTGTGCGCCTGACCCATTGACAGCGCCAGACACTTTATATCCACCACCACCTCTTCTTCCCCCCCTTTTTGTTCCCCCTTTTCCGTCTGTGGAAAGATGAGCACAATCTTGGGCACGCTCTCCACCATCCCACCGAGACCCATCATCTCCGCCCCTCTTTTCCGAATCTCCTCTAAAATCTCCTTCAACTTTACATTCCCCTCCACCCGTTCCGGATTTAACCCCTCCCAACCTACTATTACCCCTGTTATATTCCCCAGATCAGATGCCCGTATAAACACACCCGGGTTAGACACATCTACCAGACTCGCTTGTATTTCTGTACCATCCGAGAGGATGAGTGTGTCGGTTGCATTCCCCGTGGGAAAGTGCCTTGCCTTTCCTGTCTTCGCCCCTCCTGGATTTTATAAACGACAGCACAATCCTGCTTATCCCAGTCCCGGGGCACACCGTCTATCTTGTAATCCCCTCTGGTGAGATCCGCTCTGAGCTGCTGCTGTATCCTGACAGTCACCGTCCCGTCCTCCTCATTCACTTCTGGCACCCTCGGTAGTATTAGCAAGTTCTGATCGAGAGCAGCCGGCCCCAACGATGGACAGCATATATTCCCACAGTTCCCCGCCATCTTTTATCCCGATCTGGATGGACAAAGGTGAACTCCACGTCCCACTTTCTCTGGACAGCTGCTCGGGGATAATTAATAGGATGCAGATCTTTGAAGTGGACGAGATGCCACCCCCCCCCCCCCCCCCCAAAAGCCGTTTAATAGCTGCCTGCCATACGGATCTGGACTACCCATCACAGCAGGGAGAAACGATGGCCATGATGATGATGGGTCCGGGGAGGAGGGGAGGTCAGATCGTAAAAAGGACCAGGCCGTTTGACACCCCCCCCCCCGGGCGGGCGGGCGAATATCGCTGGGAATGACCTCTCTCTTCTCCCATTGTGTCTCTGGTCGTTTTCCACCACCCTGTCTCATTGAGGTGTTGTTGTTTGTGGTGTGTATTAACGTTCTTTGCCGGGCAGGTATTAGCGGGAGAGCAGAACCGGTTTTTTTGCCACTCCCCGGCTCGAAAAGGAGCAAAGTGCACCTGCACCACCAGGTCGCGGCATCTTCAGACCATAAAACACGATAAGTGATGTGATAGGGGGGTATTAGCAATTGTTTGAGTTGTTTTACCGTACTGTACTTATATATGTAGTCTATATACTTCAACCGGGCTTGTGTCCGTCCGGCCGAGTTGCTGCTGCTGCTGCCCCGGTTATAGAACGGAACTTCCAATTATAACAGACATGTATGTACATACATACATACAGCCCTAACCCTGAACACCCCCTTGATATCATCACTGTTACACCAGAAGAAGGATGGTATAGAGGGTCAAGTTCCAAAAAGTACAACTATCCACTAATACAATGTAACACAAAAAGATACAACGTTATCTGCGCACAACAGCTTAACAGGTTTAGTAGTGGACGAGCTGGGAATCGAACCCAGGACCTTTCGCATACACTATAGTTATAACCCCTTGAATCCACTTGTCCTCTGTAATGAGGTGGGGGGGGGGGGGGGAAGAGGTATGCTAAGCGAACGCTCTACCAACTGAGCCACACGCCCTTAGATATTTACCTGGGGATCATGAAGGTGTTTATAACGGTTGTGTGTGGGCACGGGAGAGAAATAACTCAGGTATGAAATGAAACCCTGCTGAGCAAGGAACATACTCCTCAAAGCATCAAGTATCATAAGAAATTGTTTTACATAGCTCGCTAACCTTTTCCTATTGACTAAAATGTTCCTACAGACTTTTCATAACATAATCCCCTACTCACCATCATGGTCAGGATCAGCCATGCTGGTGTCCGCTGCCGCTGCCGCTGCCGACGACGGAGCGGCTTCCCCTTCCCCTTCTTCATCTTCATCACTCTCATCCACAATCCTGCCTCTTACCCTAGACCTCTTGTTTTGTGACCGTCGTGTGACAGTTCCAGCTTCTTCATCCTCATCCTCATCATCGTCCCGACCACCACCAGCTCCAGCATCACCACCAGCATCGTCGTTATCCCCAAAGTGATCCACCTCCATCCGATCAGACATTTTGTCGTCGTCGTCGTCGTCGTCATCATTCTCCCTGCCAGACGCATCTTCCGACCTTGATCTCTTCTTGAGCGCTCTCTCCGCTCTCTCCAGCTCGTCTTCGTCCTCGTCACTGTCGACAACAATTTCCGCAGACTTGTACTTGTTCGACGTAGACTCTTGTTTCCGAGACGTAAGCTTCTGCTTCTTCTTGGGCGGCCGTCGGGTCCGCTCTTCACCACCCGATTCGTCGTCACCCGTGTCAGCTGCTGCCGTCTTTTTCCTGCGGGAACCCTTGCTCCTGGGCTTCTTCTCTGCCGACGGCTCGCCGCTCTCGTCTCTGCGTCTAGCCTTCTTCGGCCTGTTGCGCTTCACCTTCTCGCCCGTCTCGCTGTCGGTGGTCATCTCGGCCTCCATCCGCGCGCGTTCCTCCTCCATTCGCTGCTCTGCCAGGAGGCGATCGCGGGCAAGAATCTCTTCACGCTCCTTTCGGATCTTTTCTTGGCGCTCACGCTCTAGCTCTTCAATCTTGCGCTTCTCCTCTTCACGTCGGCGCAGCTCGGCCTGGCGCTGCTCCAATGCCGCCTGAAGCTTCTCCTTGTTCTTCGACTCATACTCCTTCTGGCTGGTGAGGGCTCTCTCGAGCTGTTTCCGCTGCGTGTTCCGCGCCATGTTGGCACGCTGCTCAATGTCGTGCTTGGGGTATGGCGTCTGCGGGGAGCTCGCAATCTCGTCCAGAGCTTTGATAGCAGCCTCAAGTCCGTCGGCAGCATCCTGGAGCTGGAACGACGTCCGCTGGTTCTCGCTCAAAGAGTGAATCTGCATGGCTATCTGGATCTGCACAAAGGCTACGTTGAACTTGAAGTGAGGCTGCTCCGGGGCGACAGCAAGAGCCTGTCGAATTCATGTCAGCGTTGCCAAACACACGAGAAAGAAGAAGGGAGGGATCGAGTCAGCTCACCTTCTGAGCGTATTCCAGCGCCGTCCTGTAGGCGTCCAGGTTGCGCTCAGCCCGCCCCTTGTTCAGCCAGGTCCGGCCGAGACAGGAGAGAATATTGGCGTCATTTGCCTTGCCCTCCTTGGAAAGGGCTATCTCGTAACTCTCAATAGCCTTGGAGAACTGCTTCAACTCGGCGTAGATGTGCCCGAGGTTGACAAAGACATGCGCATCCCTGATAGTCTCGCGGACCTTGATGAATATCTGCAGAGCGTTCTTGTAGTCCTTCTTGTCCTCCACCAGCGCAATCGCGATTCCCTGCGCCGCGTATGCGTTCTTGGGGTCCAGCTGAAGTGCCTTGTCGAAGAACTCGACAGCCCGACTATAAGCAGCGCTCCGCTTCTGCTTTTCTGTCTCCGTTTCCCGGCGCATCTCTCGCGCCGACATCAGATGGATGTTGCCCATTCCGACGAGAGCATAGCGATCGTGCTTGTCGTAGTTTTGTAGTGTGTGCTTGTAGTGTCTTTGCTCCGGATCCTCGGCAATGTTGGCCGGCTTCTTCTTCAAGTTCACCTTGCCCAAGAACCAGCCATACAGGGCTCGGACTTCGAGGTCGGACGGATTTTCTTGGTACAGCTTGGCCACAGCATCCGGACCCTCCTTGTTAGGGAACTTTCGAAGCTTGATGTATGCCAGTCTGGTGCGCGCATCAGTGTAGCCATCGTGCCGCTTGAGCAGACCCTCGTATACTTCAATGGCTTGGTCTGTCATGCCGCGCGACTCGTAACTCCGCCCAAGGTTGAAGCTGATGGTCGTGACGAGCGCGTCGGTATCGGTGTCGTTATCATCTCCGATGCGCATGCATGCGCCAAGAGCAGCCTCGAACATCTCGCTGGCCAGCTCATGCTTTTCTGACTGGGAATAGAAACATCCCATGTTGTTGAGGAGCTGCGGCGGAAGGAATTTGCGAATTGCTGTCCGAACTGCAGCTTCGTCCGTTGTATCGGTCGGATACGCTGACTGCGGAACCTGCTCAATCTCCAACTGCTCGACCTGTTGGAGACACTCAAGTGCCTTGTCCGGGGTTTCTGTCTCGTATAAGCGCGCTAGGTTGAGCAGTACGGCGGCATCGGGGGAGAGATTTTTCTTAGCGTCCTTCCATGCCGACCGCACGCCTTCCAAGAGACTGATGGCCTTCTTTGCCTCTGCGCTCTTGTCCTCCTTCACCGAGGCAAGCTGATTGGTAAACACCTCCTCGGCATACAGAGTGCCAAGCAGGATCATAGCTTCGTAGTTCCTCGACTGCTGGATCATCTTTTCCAGACGAAGTTTTGCTTCGCCAAGATCGTTCTTGAGAACGGAAAGCTGAGCTGCACCAAACTTGGCTGGCAGGTAGCCGCGGTCGGAACCACCTCTGGCATCGTCTGCTCGGCGGTAGTAGTCACTCGCGCGGTCTGCATCGCCGGCATAGTGCTCCTTCCTGGCAAGAAGATACCAACCATCACTGGCAATGGCGTTGACATCCGTGTACTGAATGGCCTTGTGGGCGAGTGCGTCGACGTTGGTAAGCTGCTTCCGCGAGAGAAAGTAGTTGGCAAACGTGGCACAGCTGAGAGGAAGATCCTTGTCCAGCTTGAAGGACTTTTGTGTGTATTCCGTCATGGCCTTCTTGTAGAGGCGAATAAACTCGGGGCTGTTCGTCGGAACGTGGCCACTCGCGTCGAGGTAGTAGAGACCAAGCAGGATGTTCGCAATCTTCGAGTCCGGGTTGATCTCCAGACATCGCTCCCACGCCAGCTTGGCGTCGTCCTTGAAACCGAGCTGCCAGAAGCAGCAGCCGACACCAATGCGCGGGTCAGGGTCGACAAGGTCCGGCATCTTGCCCAGAACCTCTTGGTATCCAGCCAGCGACTCAGCGTATCTGCCCAGGGAAAAGAGGGCGCGCGACTTGCCCATCACCGCCAACATATTCTTCCCCTGTGACACCCTGATGGCGTCATCGAACGACTTCAGGGCGCTTCGCAGCAGGTCTGCCTTTTCAGGATCGACAGCACCAGGAGCTGCGCCAGCCGCCTTTGAGGGTGTTTGAAGAGACGCCCTTAGGAGAAGCAGAACTCCACGCGCCAGAAAGAGCGGAGGGAACGCGGGATTTATCCGCGACGCCTCGTTCAAGCTTTGTGTCGCTAGCTGGAGATAGTATTCTTTCGTCTTGGCCTCCGAAACCAGAGATCCCTCCGAGGCAACTCTTGGTGCTTCCCTGCTCTTCCACAGGTACATCCAGCACAGGCAGCTGACGATGCTGAGCTTCTCCCGCGGGTTGGTGACTTGCATAGCATTGGCGCCACGTATGAGCATCTCGATCGCATAGTCGACCTTCCTCTGCTTCGCGTATGCCAGCGCGACAGCCATCCAATAGGTCCGTGCCGCTTGCTCCATCTCAAACAGTGTGCAGAGCTCGGTGGGATCGTCGGCAAGCTCTTCGAGGTTGATTTCGACAGCTTCATCTTCTCCTTGGACGGGGACTTCGATCGTCGAGGGGATGTCGGAGAAGCGCTTGCTCGTCGGGACGCCGTTGGATTCCGCTTGGGAAGCCCCAGGAGAGGCGCCATTGGCGGCGCCATTGAAGTGGGCATCAAGTAACGCCGACATCTTCGCGCCTGTCTTTGATGGTTAAGGGCTGGTTGGGAAACCGGGAACTGGGCCCGATCACGATGACCCGTCGATGGAGAAAGCGCGCGGCGAGAAAGATGAGGCTAGCTTCTTTGTGCTCGTCGTGCTGATGGCCGCGGTCGAGTATCAGCTGAGCTCCGGTGGCTAGCGGATCATCGCACTGTGAGACTCGCGCAATAGAAGTGCACGTAAAGATGTCGCAGCCTAGGCAAGAGGTTAAAGTCGCGTCAGCCTCGTCAAGGAACAGGGTGATTTTTTGGCGTTTTGGGGTAACTCTGAGCGTCAATTGATCCCCGGCTGACGGGGCGAAGCGCTAACTGGCTCAAGGATGGGCGTCATGCAAGAGGAATTTTAGCGTGCCTACCCCGGCCTTTACATCGGAGCATTTCATTGGACAACAGCCAATTCAATCAGCCTCACGCACTTCACATTGCAATCACTGCTGACTTGTCCGAGATGATATGGGTTTTTGACAAACTAAAAAAACCCTAGATGGATTCTATCAGCTGAGAGTAACAGCTCGGTTTTTTCTTTCCTATAATGCACTAACACTACGACACTAAAATCGAAGAAATCGTTTTCCCTGCGTGTCCCATCGCCCGTCCAGATGCTATCGTGGAACCTGCCCGCCCTGAGATCCCCGATGGTCTGCTATGATCATGCCATCTTCTACACAGCAATACAATCTGGAGATACTATCGAGTTGAGCATGTTTTCATCACCGGAAAGGAAAGAACAACTGAGATGTGGCATGATCAAGGCAAGTCGAGGCTCGGTTGGGAAGGAGCAAGTTGTTGTGCTTGCCCATCATGAAGAGGACGGAGGCAATTTCGGGTGACATCAACGCTTGCGTGCCACAAGATGTTTGTTTCGATCCTTGCCAACTTGTCGCAATGCAAAACGCACCCTTTACTACTGCTTTGCCTGCCTTGAT